GCACACCCACTCACTCTTTTCATTTCAAATCATTCTCTACTATTCTCTCGCTGCTAACCACCTTCGTCTCTCCCAACCACATCCCTTCGCTGCCCCGCATACAACACAAAAAACTCAACCTCCCCTGCCATCATACTCTACCCTGGGTACCGTATCCACCAAAATTCACATCTTCACCCCTTCTGTGCCCGCAACGAGTCTCGCCCGGGGAAACAAACCTCATCTTGCTGTACGTGTGCAGCACACCTATTTCCGACAAACAGTAAAACCTACGCCTCGCGAGATCACTTTTTTTTGCCAGCTCCCATTCCCGTTCTAAACATCCAAGCCCTCTCGTCACATCTTCCTGTACAATACTGTACCGCACTGTGTGATGGCAAGACAAACTCTTCACGTAAAATCGCGATGTTCATCTGCGTCTCGACACAACCGCCACAGCTTTTACACTGTTTGTCAAATCGTTGTTATCATTGGAACGACCAACGTTTTTTCGTTCCCAACTTTATCCTTCTTCTCGTTCCTCGCTACACTTCCGAAATGATCGAGTCGTATTTGGAGATGTGGATTGCGAGCTTGCCCCCTCTTTCAGAGTTTGTCCGTGTAAAAATGTATGCTGCGTAGATTGCCATTACAACCGCTGCTTGCCCACACGGGAACGTCTTGACGTATGCTATGTACTATATCCACTGATCCGTCATTGAACATGCGGGCTGCCCATATTCATTCCTCCATTCTTACCATCCGCAGACAAATTGTTCTTTCACAAAACGCACCCCGCATCTTGAATCACATGTACTATAGCACAAGGAGTTTTGCCAAAGACTGGCAAGTTCCGATCCATAGATCTGGTCGTTGGGGTTTTAGAATACTGTAGAGGCTTTCTGCGCGAATTTGTTCGTGGTGCAGGTACGAGGTTTGGCATTATGCCGCAAAAGAGTACATCTGTACCGCAAAACTGAAAGTGTTCGACTTGCTTACCAACATTGAAGTCGGTGTATGACTCTTACTACTGCCGCCTCTTTTAGTAGAGTCTATTATTAGTTCTGCTGCTCGCTGTTGGGATGACGAAGGCGGCAATATCGATGTCTGTCTGGTTTCGTTTAAGTGACTACTCACCTACATCATCAAAAAATGCGCATATCCCCAGACATGTTCCCTTCGTCGTAATCGTGAGAGGGTTGTATGAAACGTTATCTCCGTGAACAAGCATTGAGTCATCCTAACGTAGGACACAAACGTGATGCCAATCCCATCTAGTGAAATAACATACCTATAAAGACGGGATAAAGATGTATAATAAGCCGCTCTCTGTTCGTTTAAATCGTTCAGATAAAGGCAAAGGCAAAGTCTCAGTCACACTTTCTTTCTGTCCTCACAACCAAGTAATCTCATCTAGAAGTCGACAAACACACAGAAATTCATCATGTTATTCGTTCCGGTATTGTTTCTCTTCCTTGCGCAACTTGCATTAGCTACCCCTGATGTGGGCATGACCTGTGATCAGCATCCAAAGAGAGATTTGATCAACAAGCCTGTCCTTATCCGCTCGTGGAAATTCTTCGGGAGAGGCACTGCAATGATGGTGAACGGTAGAGTTGCATATTATCCCGCGTACAAGGAGCTCAGCTATTCTCCACGAGATGATGCGACTTCCAAGAAATATCATGGCTTGGACTTGTTCTACGTCAGCGGTTCTGGAAATGAACGGAAAGAGCCCGCTCTGGCTGAGTTGTACTTTCAGAGGTCTGCCTTAGTGTACATCTTTGTCGATGCCAAAGCAGCCACCAGAAACTCCTTCACAAGCACAATGCAGGGGTGGCAGTCAGAAGGCTGGGCTGTGCGAACCTCGAAACAGAGCAGGTACTTTCTCGGCTTGTACCAAAAGGTATCGTTCTATGTAACTCAACACGCTTACGTGTTCTCCAAAAGAACGCAGGGGCCCATGAATTCTGTCGTGATTCCCAACTTTGGCTGGGTCTTAAGAAACACACCGAACATCAAAGCAAAGGGCTCGTATCACATTAGAGTCGCGGAAGCTTCCGGAGGACCGTCTACCCACCAAACCTCTTTTCGGGGAGTTAAAGTTTCTTCCAATGCTCGGTGCCCTGACATTCTTCACGACGCGTGGAGCACAGCTAATAGCGATTCTTCCGACGCAGCCACAGCCAGAATGCGTTTCGGGACCTGGCATCCACAATGGGACCCATGTTTATGGTGGTACGTAGCAAAACTCTCTCTTTTTTTTTTTTTGTATTGTTGTTACTGTTCAAATAGACGAGAAGAGACGCTCGAGCTGGTCCTTGATACTCCTCAGTTTACGGTTGAACGGAACCCCAAAAATCCGATCAGGAAGCTTCTAACACGAAACAACATGTTTACGTTGCCACGAGCGAAGTGCTTACGATCACGAACACGGATCGGCGGCGCCTCTATTGATGGACTACACACCAAAGTATGGGCTGACGGAACACAAGAACAAAGGCGGGGTTGAGACCAACCAAGGCTTCAAGGACTTTGTATTTGCGCAAGGGAACGTGCTGGTGTACGTGAGCGTGCATGTGCAAACGTCAAAAATGCGGCGCGTAGACCACGCGTTGCACACGGTGACACTGGTGATGAAGCGGAAGGGGTCTGGGGAGCTGCTTGTGGAGCTGAGCTTCAAGGGGGACTTTGGGTTTCTGGCGGCGCGCAAGCGCGGGCGGGGGAACGAGATGATGGCGCTGACGCGCGGCGGGGCGGCGGTGGCGCGGGAGCAGCGGCGGAGCAAGCCGTACTTGCGGGCGTTCCGGACGATCAACGTGGTGAACATGGGGGCGCTGGACGGGCGGTTCCAGTACAACTACCCGGCGCGGGCGGGGACGTACGAGGAGTGGGTGTGCCGGACGCCGTGCGCGACGACTGCGATGGGCGGCGAGCTGACGTTCGACGTGCAGGACCCGATCACGGGGATCAAGTCGATGGCGAGCCGGGCGACGGTGTGGCTCGGGGACCGGTACCGGAACGGGGTGTTCCGGCCCAACCTTGGGCTCAAGCGGACGGTAAGGGCCAGGGGGCTGACGGTGAGCGCCAGGCGGTGCGGGTTCGGAGACAGGTTTAAGGGGGGCGTGTTTTATACGGACGTGTACGGGAAGAAGCTCAAGGACGGGCCCGGGGCGGGGGCCGTGCGGCAGTTCATCAAGCCCGGGTTCGTCGGGGGATTCTCCGGGAAGTTTAGTCCCGCGGAGTATTGGAGGGGCATGCACCATGGAGGGATGGAACAGAAGTTCTTCTTGCCGCATGGGTATGGGATCAACCATTACGTGAACTAGACGCGGTTGCGGGGCGAGGAGATGGTTGAGAGGCGGATGGTGGGGAGAGGTATTTTTTATTGTGGAGCGATGGTTGGGCATCGTGTGTATTGTAGTGGGTGTGGGATGAGTGGTGGGTTGGTTTAGTTGGACGGTGGATGCTGGTTAGATGGTTGTCGATGGATTGCGTTCTGGACCACAAACCAATTGTTGTTGGTGCTGCAAAGAGGTGAGTAGTGTATCTTTCTGTTGAGAGTTGGGTATGCAGATGTGAGATATTCGTTGTAAAAGGTGAACAGAGGTGAGTGCGGAGTGCGAAGAAAGGGCGTGAAGCGGGGACATGAGGATGGCGAGAAGTTGAGCGTTGGGGAATGGTGAGTTTGGGCGGCACGGTGAGCGATCTGCCCAGAGCATCGATGAGGAGCACTCCCCGGAGTGGGCTCTGGGACTCGCTGCGGTGTTGGGACGGGCTCTGGGAGCCAGACTGGGAGCCAGACTGGGAGCCCGTCCCAACACCGCACATTACAAGTGTACATGTGTCATCACGTGTGTGTGTGTGTGGACGGATAACATAACATATGATAAAGTCGGTCCTTTACGAGTGCGGACTCCGCACGGGCCGGGAGGCCACGTCGCCACGTGGACACGGTCTTCGTGTGCTGTGAATCGGGCAACCACGTCTCTACACACAACTGTAATACAACGGTTGTGTAAGGAATCCGTACAGGCCGGAGACAGCCTGTCAGTATAAGTGGGCGGTCTGACATTTACGTGCACTGTGCTGCCGTATCAAGTAGAAGTATCAAGTAGAAGGAAGTATCAAGTAGAAGTGCACAAACATCCGAACCTACATACACAGTACAGGAGGGGACGCGCAATAGTGCCGCTTTCATTATTGCCACCCTCGAATTAGTGCCGCAAAAACCAGCAGACACAAGTTCTGCCACGTGTCATGCACGACGTCGTCATCGCCCACTCCTCATATGCCTCAGCCCAATTGGTGATGGCACCTCACTCAAAGTCCCTAACATGATTCCTGAAAAGATCGCCAAAGCGAAGCGTACGCGCCTTACGATTGCGCAGAAAATCGAGGTTGGGCATCTGCTGCAGATCGGGAATGCGAATACCATAGTTATGCGTCCGTTCAAAATTTCAGAACGAACCATCCGAAACATCAAACGCTCTCTTCCTTCACTCCAACAAATTGTGACCAACACCGCCACAACGCTCGGCACAAAACCTTTGGAGGAATGGATTGAGAACGAGACTAATGAGGTTGTGGCAGAAGCTTCTATTAGTGATGCTTGCGATTCAATACATTATGGTGGAGAGCTACAGAATCAGTCTGCCAGTGATGCTATGATGGATGATTATGTGGCAGAAGGCGAGTGTGAAATTACGGAGAGGCGGGCCGTACCGAGTGCTGTAGTGCTAGCAAGGTTGTTTGGGTCTTTGGAGAGTCTGGGTGTGGAGTGCGATGTGAGCAATGCCTTATCGCACTTGAGGTCCGCAAAACGAGCTTTTCTAGAAGCTACACGTGTAGCAAGGCATGAGAGACACGGTCAAAGGCAACAACAGCAGAGACCCGTTCCTAACTCGCAGTCCATCACAAAATTTTCTTCTCTTGACTTCCAGCAGTGCGTATCTACCAAGCCTTTAAATTGAATTTTTCAAGAAAAGCGCTGTAAATGGTAGTACTGTACACGTGTACAGAGCGGAAAATACCCTTGCAGGACGTCTACGTTTCACACCAGAGAATCTGGTACTGACCATTCTCGCGTCTATCTATACCTTCGTTCACTCGCCCCTTCCTTCAAGTCATGCGGACCACCTCCCACTCCGGTCTCCAACGCCGCCAGGCTTCCTCCCCCCTCCGGTCTCCAACGCCGCCAGGCTTCCTCCCCCCTCCGGTCTCCAACGCCGCCAGGCTTCCTCCCCCCTCCGGTCTCCAACGCCGCCAGGTTTCCTCCCCCCTCCAAGCCCTTTTCCTTCCACCCCACCATCCGCCGCTTCTCCCCCGAACGCTGATACTCGATTCGTCTTCTTCTTTGCCACGCTCGTTGTCCGTCCTCTTCTTCTTCCCGAATCCCCTACACCACCCGCCATCCGCCACTGCCACTCCTAGACCATATTTCGTTATGGGAAGAGGGCAAGTTCTGAGAAAAAGTATTAGTGCGGGAACGGCGCGAAAAGTAAGGAACAACTACAGCACAGCTTTTTTAGCAGCTATTGCAGCTTTGGTACTGGAAGACGACACGCTGAACGCTGTGGCAGCTAGGTTGCAGTTGGATCGAGTTGCGAGTTCGCCACTACGCGGTCATCGCCGGGTTAACATTGTGCGAAACAGAACCAACATTTCTTTCGAAGAAAGTAATGCCATCTACATTGATAAAGAATTCGATGGCCAGTGCAGTTGCAGTGGTGAAAGTTTGCACATCTTGCCATGACCTTGCCACTCCCGCTTCATATGCTGTCGTGGAGTTGCTTCTTGAGAAACTACTCTGGATTGGACGTGAAAAGCGTTGTACGTTTTCTTGTTTTTGCTCTGCTCACGACGCTTCCCTTGGCCATTCAGAGGGTTCCACTTGCCCCTTCTTCTTCTTGTTCATTGTTGTGCAACCAGAATAATAACCAGTAGCTCACCTGCACTTGTTGAGACTCTTAGCTACTTACAGTCAGGAGATAAAGTTAATGTCAAAGATTAACATCGAACTGTCCAATGAATAAGGTAGAAGTTAAGAGTGGTGTGATAGGGAGATTCGGGAAAGAATCATCCCGGACTTAGGAACGGGCCAGACTCTAATAACAGAGTTCTGGCCGGGTAGTGGTTCTGCCCTCTGATTGTGCCGCTCCGAATTAGTGCCGTATTATTAGTCCTTACACGGGGCGGCACTAATGCGTAGGGTCGACTGTATCATGATGTGGGAATACCAATGTGTACAAGTCGTTGCATTTCAGACACTGCACACAGCGCAACTGATGTCAGCTTGCGCTGTGCGTAGAGCCCAAATTGCCCAAATTCCGTTGTCAACAACGGAATTTGGCCTCTGCGGTAGCTCGACCTCGTTTTTTCCACGTGTGTGCCTTTTCACCAACCCTTCCCACTTCGCCCTGGTTAATCCGTCGCGTCCCACAGCACGCTCAACAGCACTAGATACCCAATCGAGGACATCGGCCTACACCGCCTTTGTCGAACCCTCCCTCGCGCGCCTGCACCACGAGAAGGAGCGGCTTGCAGAGTCCCCCGCCACACCTGTGCCCGTACCAGTATGCTGACATCCACGCGCGCCTCGGGGCCCCGCGCAGAGCATGACGCGGCACGCTCAAAAACCGGGGCACACCCCAGCCCACCTGCGACCCGCGCCCCGCGCCCGCATGCACGCGTCGCGCACGAGGGGCGCAACGCGCCCTCCAGTGCGCGACGCGTGCAGGCGCCCGCGCTCACCGACCGCTAGCCAACCCCCCGCCCCGCCACAGGCCCTCTCATACAGTAAGGGTACCGTACACCACCCAGAGCCACACAAACAGTCGCCTGCCTATGCCCACGCGCCCTGACACAGCCTGCATTTCCGCCCGTTTGAATGCCAAAAACGTCCCCAGCCCTGACACCCCCGCCCCTGACAGCCATCTACGGCCAGCCACTGTCGTCTGACACCGAAACTCAATACAATACCACACCCACCTGTGTCGCTCCATGCCTATCCGCGTCGTCGGTCCCCATCGCCTGCCTCTACCTGCGTGCTTGCCGCCGTCACACACTACCTCCCTTCCTCCCTCCCCCCCCCCCCCCCCCCCCCCCCCGCCCGCCATGCAGCGCCACGCCAAGCCGCTCCGCCGCACGCTCGCGCGCGCCACGCTGCCAGTCCTGATGCTTCTCACGGTGCTAACGCTGCTGCTCTACTTCTTCCGCGCGAACCTGAACCTGCCGGGCCTGGTGTCCGAAGTCACGGGCGCCGACCCGGACGACGCCCCCGTCACGGAGTGGAGCAACGGCGGCGGCCAGGCGCCGCCGCCGGCGGAGCCGGTCGCCGCTGACGCCGGCGCGCAACCCGAGCGCGACGCGCAACCCGAGCGCGACGCGCAGCCCGAGCGCGACGACTGGGACGACGACGACGACGACGGCAGGAAGGACGCTGCA